AACATATCTTCTGGCTGTATTGCATTCTGGTCTGTTGTTATTGGAGAAACTGATCTCTCTGCCTTGTCTTTGATGGATTTCTGCATTTATGAGTGCTGCTTATCAATGTGAAATGGTTCCTTTGGAAAGAACCCTTTGCTCTTTGATTGACTGACACCAAAATATCTGATGTTGATTATTTGATGTTTTTGATCTCTGAAATCTTTGGCCATGTATACAAGCACAAGCTTTTTCTTTTTAAATGTTAGTGTTAGGTTTTTCTTTTCAGTTCAATGCACATTACTTAAGCATAGGGGGGCTTAACTGGAACTAAGGCTGCAACTATAATTATTTCATCATTGATTAACCTGGCGATTATTTACTCGATTAATCAATTAATCATTTGGTCTTTAAAAAGACTATAAAGGACTTGTTTTGTCCAACCAACAGTCCAAAACCCCAAAATATTCAATTTAATATAATGCACGCCTGTAAAAGCCTTAAATTCTTACATTTGAGATCCTGGAACCATCAAATATTTTATTTAAATACATAAATGATTAAGCAATTATCAAAGTAGTTGTTGATCTTATTGCCATTATAACTGACCTGCAGAAAAACACACTTTATATGAATGGGCTACAGATCATAAAAAGTCAACCTGGCAAAAAGGTGAAGGAGGAGGGAGCAAATAACTGTAATGACGAAATTTGCAGAGTGAAATTTGGTACCAGATCCAATCCATATTTAACCCAGTTGTGGCTCTGATGGCAGCGATCCAAGAGAAATTTATCATGGCCTTTATCTGTAAATCCAGGCTTCCTGTAACTGAGCAACGAGCAACAGATACCACCAGACACTCTGCCATGAGTCAGGATGTCACAGTTCAAAGCAGAAGATGCTTATCTGGCTATATAAGCGTGATGGCAGTCATATTTCCACAGGGAGAAGAGAGCAAGAAGGCATCTGTAGAAGGAGGTAAATGGGATATGATGAGTCAAGTTGCCTGAAGATACAATCAGTAATATTTGTATATTTGTGTTTGTTTTTGTGTTTGCCTTGTTGATAGACGGGGGATATAGCTTTCTGGAGTATTCCCTACTCATCATAATTCCAAATACCAGACTATTTCTATTTCAACATACATATTGTGTAGTGATTCTCAACCTGGGCCCACAGACACCCAGGGGTCCTTGAGGGGGTTTCAGGAGGTCCCTAGAAAATTGGGGAATGTTTTAATTTCCCATTTTTGAATTGACTAAAAGTAAGCCAAAGAGAGAATGTATAAGAATAAGTACTCTGTTCTTAGGTTTCACACGCTTCACTATTAACTTGCCAATCTACAGTATACTTAATCTTATCAGATGGGGGATCTCTGAGACTACATCTTCTCCAATACGGGTCCGCTGCCTGGTGTATAAAAATGTGGAGGTGCAGGCAGAAGCACTGCTGCAGATGCATCATGTCCCATTTGAGACAGTGTATGACAAAGGAAAATGATGGAGTTATTGTGTGTGTCTGTGTTTTAACTATTTTAACCACATTGTTAACCCCAAGGTAAACTCATTGATGTGTTTTTAGTAATTCCGAACCACTTTTGGGCTCTATGGCACAGAGGAATTAGATATGTCAGGGTTTTACCACACAGAGAATATGGTAGGATCAATTTCTTGTCACTTTTGGTCTTTCCATGGGATTTGTTGACAGTAAGAAAAATATAATATCACTAGTTTGCCATAAAGGAATAAGTTTGGTCAATAAACTTTTTCACTTAAAGGGAATTTTTATTTGGTTTGTTACACTTATTGACGCTTTTTTAATAGCTATGTACAACTATCTTGTATTAAACATTAAGGTGTATTTCTTGACACAAATACCTGTACTGCATCTTTATGTAAGCCATCTACACATTGAGACAGCTAAAAGAGGTACAAAAATGTTCTTAGTGGTAAAGTAAAAAGGCCCCAGCTCATGTTTTTCTGCTCTTCCCACACTACTGTAAGCAGTGATACTTTTGGCTATCTGAGCTCCACTGAAGTGGTTCAGACTCACTTGGCTATATCTAAAGGACTCTGCTTTGTTAACAGGTCTTTTCAAGTGGTCTAACACCAAACGCCAGAATCTCTGCGCTTGAAGAGTTGGCTTGGATCCTGGAGGACGTGTTTTTGTTGGCTCACCACAGAGGGAAATCGAGAGAGAAGATAGGTGTGAAACTTCCTCTCTCACTGCGCAGTGAGTTGGAGACAGCATCACAATCGATATAAAGATCACAAAAAGAACCACTGTGCAACTACTAATAAACTCCATCTGTGCGATAAGCCTACAAGGGCAAACGCTGCAGTGTGCTTCATAGTAAGTGTAGTGGCTCTCATCATATGGACTGGGACCTCTGGGGAGTAATGAATTAATTTGTGGAACCAGACAAAACATTTCCAAAACAAACACACAAATCAAAAGTAAAAATGTTACCAGACATCCGCATGAGAAGAGAGAGATGACCTGCTTTTACCTCCAATAAATCAGGTAATCATTAATCATGGTAGTGATCCCAGACGGAGTGTTCAATCACTGCTGACAGTCTGTACATCTCGCTTTAGTTTGGATTCATCAAACTCTGGCTGGAGAAGTGACAGTATCTAGAAACAGAATACGTTTTGGCCAAAATAGGGCAAATCTCAGCTGGGGGGATGCCGCTCTTCTCTATTGCAGCCCTGCTTTGTGTTTTAGGCTCAGAAGAATGTATTTGTAAATGAAACGATTCCCTGGTGAAGCATTAGGGTTGTTATGGTGATTAAGGGATGAAATGGCTTTTGCTGTGAGATTATGAGTTCCTCTGTTCTCTGTTTTTTTCTTAATAATTAAGCCATTAATGTAACATAAAAATGAAAGACATGCAAATGATCATTTTTTCCAGGAATAAGACACCAATTACTGAGTCTTGGGAGGGTGATGCATACAGGACTCTACTTGACCTTTGTCACTCTCTCTCACTGTCCTTCTATAATACGCTCTTTCTTTCACACAGACACTCACCGGCAGGCCCGTCCTCCTCCTGTGTTATGTCTGAATTGAGGCCTTTGCTGACATGTGGGCAGACACACAAAGCGTCATTTAGCACCGGGTCATTTGTCACATCAAAGCATTCCTTGACGCATAAAGGGAGGCTCCCTGTAATCTGTCAGAGTAAAATGTAAACAGGCGACACAGAGCGGCAGGATCAGCAGGCCCCCTGCTGTCAAATCGGCTCTGACCCTAAACCCCCCGAAATGCTCTCAGTTAACAAATACGTATGAGTGAAAGCCGATCAGAAATAATGCTTTGTGTTCTGATGGTAAGATAGATTTTGATCTCAATACACCCAACCTGTAAGTCATCCATGATACATTGTAGCAAGCAATCTGCAACCTGATTTAGAAGCACATATATTTCCAATTTAGTGATTTTTATTATGTGTAGTGCGCAATTTGAGCAGTATTATAATGTCAAAGTAGATGATATTTGAGTTCAGAGCTGAAAGAAAGCCAATACCTTTCCTGTGATTGTTAGGCCAACTCATTCAACAGATTCAGAACAAATCCACACCACAAGGGTGCTTTTCATTGTTCAATGTTCCAGATTTTTCAGGGGCAGTCATTTTCAGCTGAAAATTGTGGGTTCACTAAAAGCACAGATATGGCTCTTGGGTGAATGTTTATAACTATCAAAGGTTTGGGATAGAAACACTGACACTTTATATTCTGCTAGATCTCTCTGGTGATTTGAATTTCAATGAGCCTTTACAGTATCAGGTCAGACCTCTACCATCCAGCCCCTTGCAAAGAAAAAAAAATCCATAAAATCCACCATCTCTCTCACAGAAAATAACCCTGAGCGACATATAAAAGGATAAGATATCAATTTCCTGTTATTACGCCCATATCTTTTTTGAGATTAAATGAATCTGCTTCATATTGTCTTTCCCTCTTTCCCTCTGCAGTGCTGGCCTCCTTTCCCCTTTCCCCCTGCTATGCATTTACAAGCCTGTGGTTACAACCAGGGAGTGTGAAGGATGTGTGACCGTGTGTGTGTGTAAAGGAGGGGGTATTGATTTCTGATGGATAGTAGGTGTTTTATTTCCTCTAAACATGTGAAGAAGACCCCCCAGCATGCAGGGCTACAAGGTTGACACTCACTTATTAATGTGGATGGACCAGGAAATGGAAGTCTCATCGTCATTAGCACTAACCTGAGGGGATGAGCTTTGATACAACAGGGTCTTGGGTGAACTGAACAGTATGTTTTCATCTCAAATCTTTAAAATGATTTGTGTTTTATTGTCTTTCACCACACAAATACTTGCACAATGGGCTGCATGAGAATACCCTGTTTAATGATAAACATCAGTTATCTTTTAAGTAAGTTATCATTTAGCTTGAAATGTGTGCTTGGGGTTCTTATTACACAACCAATTGATATTTGGCTGGTGAATATAAAGTATTTAGGACAGCAACAATCATTACAAGGAAAAACCAGAGCCAAAAAATATTTTATCTACAGTCACAGTCAAGGATTAAGTGTCTTTGGTGTGCTCGATTTGACCAGTGTGATAACAACAACCCAGAAATGCCTCATGAATCTGTAAACAATCTGTAAATGGCACAAGAATCCCACCAATGGCTGATGCCCGGGGGCGTTTCTTCAGGCTTCAGTCGTCCAGGCGGCAGGCGAAATGATGGAGAGGCGAAGCTGCGTCAAGCTTGGCAGAAAAACCTAGAACACGACAGGAAGTATAACGATTAGACTTCAAAATAAAATAGATTTTTAATCCCTTTCGTGTCACAGTACGAAAAGGACATATGCACATTTTCGATTCTATCGTTTTTACGAAAGACAACAAACAACTGTAATTAGATGTACTATAGATTCATAGTAAAATAGCTCATGTATGTCCACAATGGTATAAGATAATTTAATTACTCGTTTCAGTAACGATTTTATGTTGAAAACCCCGAACAGGAACCGGTTTACATGCCGGTTAACTTACGCTCGCCATAGGAGCAGAGCGTCAAAGTATCAGTAACAACTGGACTAACGTTACTTTACTGAGGGAATTCCTGCCTGGGGTTGCACTACTTTTATTGAACTCACTTTTGGGACAAGCTCAAATGAATGCGGTGTCGCAGTGAGCCCTGAGTCCCGTCGCTCATGGTTACCTGTGGAGCAAATGTGTCAAGTGGCAGCAACGGTTTCCGCTCGTGCGGTGTTGTGATGGCTAGCCGCCGTCGCTAGCTGTTAGCTCTGCATGGCTGCTGCTGGTACTGCTGCAGAGACAGAGGTAATTAGCTTGCTACGCTCGTTCGGCTGCTAGTTGCTTACAGACAGTTCGCCATCTCCGAGCCCTGCCGATAAGGCCACTTGACGGATAACGCGTTGGATATCACAATAAGGTGAGTGTCATTCAGACACAGTTAACCTAGTTTCACATGTTAAGTCGTTAGCCTAGCAGCTGAATCACTTCGGTCAGCGGAGCAGCGGCTCCGACTATTCCCTGGATTCAGAGACATTCCCCCCAAATATTCCATGTTTACAAAATGTTTATTTAAGTCTCAGTTTCGGGTGCTGTCTCACGGTGCAGTTGTTGTACACTGGGCGGTTAACGCGGCTTGTTTAAACGTCATGTCATTGCTTTCTCTGTCCCAGTTTCCATACATAAATTCATATTTTATTATCAAACATCCCAAGTTAGCTTGCCACGCCAGTAAATAGCCCCCCGGCACGCCGTGCTGGTACTGGAGTCCCCAACACACATTCTTACACACCAACAAAGTGTTACGTTGGCGATGTAAGATAAACTGGGTTGTTATTACATCTCAATGCTGCAGACGGCAGTAAGGGGAACACTGTTGGGGACAAAGCACCCCTGTATCGGGGACGTTTATGGGAGTTAGAAATCAGCGAGTATACTCCGGAATGCCGGGGCTTTACAGGCTGTTGATCTGCTGACTGTATCTGTTTTTATCTTTCTTTTGCAGGCAGATCACCAGATGGAAATATGATGTTTATAACCAGTGGATTACTCATCATGCCTTTCGAAATTATGGAATAATTTTCATCATGCGCTCCGTCAAATCAAATCTCGACCACTGCTGCAGAGATTCCTCCTTACATTTGGATTTACCAGGCAGCCTTTAAAGACCAGCAGCCACGACTGGGTGTGCTGTCTTATCTTCTGATTTAGTTTTTTTTTTATAACGTGCTTCCGCTAAAACATTAAGTATGTGTCTATGCCGGTTGGATATGCTCAGAAACCTATAAACATTGACGTGAATTCGAGCGAAGGAAGCCCAAAGAAGGAAGTCCAGGGCGGGATAGGTACAGAGAAACTACCCGTCCCCAAAGAAACATGGCCTCGGTTTGGAAGAGACTGCAACGTGTGGGGAAGCATGCGTCCAAATTCCAGTTCGTGGCTTCCTATCAGGAGCTGATGGTGGAGTGCACTAAGAAATGGTGAGTTTTTTGGGAATAACAGTGGACCACAGTGCTGTCATTTAAGCCCCGTGAAAACTGTGTGTCTCTGTCTGTGCTGGAATGCTGAGCTCGTTCCTGGTGGCTATAATTCACACACACACACACACA